CAGAGGTGTAACGTGTACATAGGTTATTAAATCAACCTTTTATATATTTATAGTCTTAGAAATATGAGAGTTGGGAATGCCTGGTATACCAGAATTGCTTTGTAAACTCTAAGCTAAATTAAATTTCTGGATCGGTGGTCCAGCATGCATTTCAACAGGGACGATACTCGATGTTTCACGTGCAAAGTTATACTAGCTGGAAAAAAAAAATCTTCCTGACATTCAAAGGAAATGAACTGATGTCCTTGAAGTGTGAGTCAGGATTGCCCATCTTCTTGGGTATTTCATCAGCTGTATGTACAGACTAAAAGCAACTGAGACATCAAAAATATCTATTCTGGTTCTAAAAAGAAAAGATCCTTTTGGGATTATATTACCCCTTTATTCTCTGCAATTTAAAAAGTCCCAGAGTGAGCAGAATGGCTCTTTTGTATAAGGAGGACTAGAGATGTGACCATAGATACAGAATATCAAAGTCAAACAATTTGCTGCTTAGATCATGGTGCTCTAGGAGCGCATTCTTTACTAGTCAAAATGGAACTTCATCTACTATAATTCAACCAGGTTAGAAAAGTTATAAAAAAAAGCCAAAAAAAAGTGTCTTTAATTTATTTTATCCACCCCTTAGCTCAAAAAATATCTAATAGTTTTTCCCTTCCAGCATATACACACACTGGTATTTTTTTAATTCTGGGATTGCTCGTTGCACTGTGGTGTGTTATTATTGTAAGGCTACTAATGAGTACTAAACCGGGCACACGGTTTTATTATTGTAGGACACTTCCTGAGTATGGGGCTTTGCACACTGGTATACTACTATGGCGTTGTTCATTAGTTCTGGCATGTTGGCATTGGTATTGTTGACACTGTTGGCCCACTGGCATAGATTTTAATGGTACTGTTGGCATCGATATTATTGATGCTGTGAGGCTGCTGGCACTTTTGTTATTGTTACCATTGGCATTAGTATTATTGATGCTTCTGGAAAAGATATTTTTAGGATGAAGCACACGGAAGTATTTTTCAAGGAATAAAGATGTTACAAAAAATAAAACAAAGGTGAACTTGAACTTATATCCAAAGCACTCAACTTTTCAGAGCAGTTCCAATTGGAATGGGGTTTGGTTCTGGGCCTGAATCAAAATCAGAGTCGCCTTTTTTGTTTTCAGAAGAAAGTGGGCCTGAAGAAGACAGGCTTCTGCCACTCAGGCACAAAACCCTTGCTAAGAAAGATCACACGATTGCAGAACCATCAAAACAAAATCTTAGTCTTGTATTTGCCTCAAATTGAAATTTGGAATAGCGTTTTAAACTCACTCTGTATGAGGTTCTCACCACTGCCTTTTTGTTTCAGCAGTCATACAGGTGAAAACCACGTTTCTTTTGTTACACCGCGATTACCTTTAGGCTGTTAATCAAGTACTGTATATTCTGTAAAGTAAGACTGATGCAATGCAATGCTAATATTCTTCAACTTTCCTTGGAGTTTGTTGGTTTGGGGTGCAAATTTAGGAGAAAGATTTATTGGAAAATTATTATTTGCCTTCACTTCAGCATAATTCCTTCTCTGAGTTTATTCAGAGACTGACTTTAATAAAAGCAAGTCTAAGTATGGTATATGGGAATAAAACTGTTTTCATGACCTGTGAATAATATATTTATAAAAATCTATTCACAAATAAAACTTGCAATTTTAAAATGCAAAGCTAGTGCCCAGTAACTGCTGCTTATTTGGACCAACCTTCCAAACAGCGCTGCATTTACACAGTAATTGTATTAAGTATAGCTGAGTATAGTATATGCACAATCGCACTAACTCAAGCTTATAAACTCCTGAGCAGGTAACTTCATCTCTATTGTTCTGTTAGGCAAACATGACATCTACTGTTAGAAAGCCTCAATTGCAAGTAGAAACCAAAACTAAGCTTCCACTATAACCACTTGTAACCTGGTCATAAAAAAGAGACTAGATTAGTCAGGCATGATCTACCTGCTATGAACCCGTGCTGGTTTCCCCTCAGCATAATTTGCCCTGCCGGGCTCTCGCAAATGTGAGCCTTGATAATTTTTTCGAAGACTTTGCCTAGGATGGAGGTGAGACTGACTGGCCTATAGTTGCC